ATGACTACTGCAAAACCCAAGTCAAGCATAACAGACGATCTGAGGTACTATATCTGGCAGTTGAAAAATTACCTTTCTGACAAAACTGAAAAGTGCATTTCGGTCCAGTGCGCATCGAAACCGTGGATGCAAAACTTAATTACCAGCGCCTAGATTGCGGATAGTTTCATACCTTTCAATCTCGGCAGAGATGTCTCCGGGTCTGAAAATGTCTCCGAATCCTCAAGACAAAAGCAGAAATCCGTCTAAATCCAAGGCAGGCGGCTATTGGCGAGCTATCAGGGATCAGAGCTAGCGCGTTCCTTAGTAACCAATCTGTAAACCCGTGTGACTTTCGCGCGCTTGACGTCTATTCTGCGGCTGGACGTGCGTGGGGAACTGCGCTCGATATGTACAGGCGGGTCTGCCTTGTAACAAGTAGACCGTTGGGAACGCAGTTGGATGACAGGATGAGAGAATTTACAGTGTGTATGCACAAACAGGATTGTTCACATACTCGGAATTGAAGGTGACTTCATGGATGAGTTCGATGATGTCGTGGTAGGTCGTGATCTGCACGCCCCTGATGCGCTCATCTCAAATGCCTTTCCGAAATTGGAACTCGGTATCTTGTCGCGTGTAAACATACCGGCTGGGTCATCTTCAACGGAGTGTTAATTCCGGACTTGTGGCTCTAGTATCCGACCCGAAGATCGACATTTGCCGTCCGCGGCACATCTGTCTATTTCCAGGTCCGCACCATCTTGTAATTGCCGGTTTACCTTTAGGTCTTGTCTGCTTCCAGTAAGTCTAAGCGAGTTTGTATTTAGGCTCTTCAGGGGTCCTGGACGAGTGCGGGTTTGTTGCGCGTTTGTCATGGCAGCTGTGTGAACATTTCCCAAACAGCATTTTGCATGTTCGGCTTTGTCAACATTGTCAAGACCATGCGCGTTTGGTTGAACATTGTCGTAGAGGTCTCCAAGGCGAAGAACTGCATGCTTTGATATAGAGTTTTGTATCTTGATTGTGTACGTTGTAATTGCATGGCTTGCATGGAATTAAACGAATAAGATATGTCTTAGAGTCATGATGTCAGCATTGTCCAGCCACCGAATGACATCGCACGTGTCGTTTGTGATGGCCCTGATGTTCCTCTAGGGGACTTGGCTTCAATTTTGATGATGCATAGCGCGTATCTAGTGTTCGCAATGGCTGGCGAACCGAGATGGCAAAGCGGAACGTAATGCCGTATCTGCATTATGGATATACGCTTTAACGTTTGCCGATGTGATTATTATGTCGATCCACTGCAACCATATGCGCTTCTGTGCGAGAGTTTGATTAACTCGGAGGAATATCCTCTACTTGAACAGCCCCTCAGCACGATGTTCCCATGGGGCAGCGTACTTGGATTATAACGGGGCCATTCCGTTTGAGCATTCATATACCCCAGAGAGGCTGTACATGCGCCCGGCTGATACCACGACATACTCAGGAGCCACGAATGTGCTGACAGCTTCGTTGACGAGGCAAGCCAGCAAGTTACGAATTGCATCCTAATAAAGCTCGACCTGATTTCGTCTGACACACATTTGTGTGTAGGCACCAATGTGAATTTGCTCATGAGGTTCAACTCTTTTGACCATATTAGGCGATGAGGCTGCAATGTGATTGGTGTGGCTGTGAAATGCCGAGTCAAGGTAGGTTCCTTTCGCTCCCGTCGGGACCGAGAGAGAAAGAAGTGAGCGGCGAGCCCAACGGTGTGGAGAGGGAGGTCTCACTAACTTGACACCAGTGTGCCCATGCTGTCAAGAGCCGTTGCCTGGAGGCTGCACTCACCCCTTGAACCCTAGCGCCCACGTTACGTTGGTCCGAAGATCCTGGTAGCCGCTTGGCACCCCTGGTTAGCGGCAGTTACCCTTGTAGCACCTATGAGAGTCGCAGTGTAAGTCGAGTTGGGGATGTGTTCATGATCTCCGACACTGACTTGATTATATTGTGACGGGTGCAAGATTTGTATCAGAGATATACATACATCTTATGATGTTGCTGTCCTTAGGCCTTGCAAGAGAATCCTTCATGCTGTCGTTATATGATAAAGCCACGGTACTATTTATGCAGCCTTGAAATGAGGGGCATTGGGGGGCTTAAACCCCTCATACGTCCTCGTACAGCGCAGCGACGGTATCTCAGGAGAGCCAAGGCTCAATGTCTTATGTCTTTGGGTGTGTGGCGCTGATGGCAAAGACCAGCTGTCAACCATGGTGAGGCACTTCCTAACGGGGGAAAATCTCTGTGAGCCGAAATATTTGGGTTTAACGTTGTTGATCTTTTCCATAGTGTTCATGCTACCTGGAGCTGAAACCATTCGTACAGACTGAGCGTCAACGTTACAGCATTGTGAGTGACAAGCGAGGTTCCAAGAAGGAGGAGAGCAAGGCGGTCTTCTGGGGACTCGGCCGAGCGACAAACGAGTGTGAGAAAGGGTTTAAAAAAAAAGGGCCCCGGCTAGTGTCTTTTGCGGGTAGAGGCCGGAGATGAAGCTGAAATAGGCAGTCGAAAAAGATACCCTGCCTGGGTCCCATGTGAGATCCGCGACACGGTAGTGGATCCGGGGTAGAAGCCTTTGCAGAAGGAGGAGAGATTTGATTTTTTGATGAGTGATCACTGATCTGACAGCTCGTTCTAGCAGGGCAGGGTATTCGTCGGTAGCCGAGATGGTACGTACTAGACACACGTTTGCACAGACAGATTACCGAGGTCCTATCATGTCCTGTGCTTTTATTGAACCCATGCTCCAGCGGCCGACGCCAGCGGGCGCCAGGAAGTGTTCCCTTGTTTACGTTGGAGCACTCCTTGACAAGCGGCTTATGGTAACGGGTGTAGACGGTGACCTAGAGTCTAGCGATTACCATTTCACCTGGTATGAGTGCAGAATCAAGATGGTTCAATCGCATGCCTGGTAATTGTTCGATTTAGTGCGTATCTTGTCCAACGAGCTTTGTCTATCTGTGCGTACCGCCTCGATATCTGAGCCGTGTTGCTGGTGGTTCATTGCAGCAAGCGATGTCGCGTCGAATCCACCTCGGCGTAAGCAACTCACCAGTTGGTTTGTACCTGGTCGACACATGGATCCATATGAAGCGATACAACTCTGACCATGGCCCGAATATATTCGGCGCAACATCGAAGCTTATGTACGCATGTCGTCGGAACTTTAATAGAAAGCTTCACGATGCATCCCTGTATCAATTTTTCCCATACCTTTGTGGCACGTGCTACCCGAATCTTTGGCAGGTGCAACTGGAAACTCGTCGGTAGTGGAAGTCGAAGTCAATTTGGAAGGTACCGACTGAGGTCCATCCCGGCAGGGCAGTTGCACGATTGGCTGTGACAGGTAGCAGTGCCTTCCCCAAATGGTAAACTTGCACCTGCGGGTTCGATGGCATGTGTTGGTGGCTTACGCTTTGTCCCAAACATGAAACAACGAAATTTGAATCGTCATCGAACGACTGTCATTCCCAACTCGTCGTTTTGCCAATTTCCAAGGGAGACAGACAGAGTTTCTGAATACGCGGAGTTTACGAACTTGAACTCCCAAATTTCCCATTTCGATACCTTTATTTCCGCCAAGGGGTGTTATCGGAGTGGAGCAATCCATTCTCTCGGGTCTTGCTTCATCATGGCTTACACATTCGAATTTCCCCTATCTGTCGACATCTCGTTCGTTTCGCCGAACATAACGGCGCGTCATGCGTTTGGGCCCTTCTGCTAAGTTAGCTACCACACTTGACTAGGTAGGTAGGTACTGTAGTCGCGGCAAGGCTATCGGTAATACCAAGACGCTGCTGACAATTACCGGAATGGACAGCCACACTCTGACGCTATTGAAGAAGCCCACAGCGCCCCAGGACGCCTACATATATCCGAGCCTACTCCACCGTTTGAATGACGGCGAAACGATGAGGCGCCAGTAGACTAGCGTCAAAAGATCGTACGACTGCCGTGACATGCCACACCTCCTTTGAACCATGTGCCGCACGTAGCCAAGACGTCATATCAATGGATCCGGGGACCTGCAATCTAGGGTCATGGTCGGCACTGCGCGAAAAGCAAATCTCCCCAGGAAGCTCTCGATAGAACCACGGGTGCCGCAACTACGGCTCTGTAAATCTGGTGCAAAGTCTATTCGTCCCGCCCTGGAGATCGACGTGAGTTTTGGCAGCCTACCGAGAATCATAATCATTCATCAGGGGGTGAGCGCATAATACCAGCAATTAAACAAACAACAGAGCCTCTACTTTTCAGAGTCCGGTAGCCCAATGTTGAGTGGGATGATATACCTAAGCACAATTGCATGCTATGTCGCTACCAACGGTCTCACCATGGGAAGATCCTCATGCCATCAAATCAGCACCTCGGTTGCTCCAGCTCACCGTTTTGTAACCAGGAAGCGCTATGCAGCCTGCCAAATTTGGCATCATCAGAACCCGCGCGCACTCTCCGTGTTATAGGGCTTGGCATTTCATCTTATTGCCAGCACAATTTCAAGTTGGATCTCTTAATTGGGTATGCCGAGCGCCTTATCCACCAGAGCGCTCCTCAGACATGAGTCCATGGCAAAGGATAAGAGTCAATTCCCTACCTTTCAAGCCACTGGCAAGCTTAATTTCCAGCTACCGCCTCCACCCTAGGCGCTCGCAATATTTACTGAATGCGGTTCAGATATCATTCTGGCGCTGCTTGGATTACGAAATGATGCAGACATTGAACCATTTGAACAACAGATAGTGGCTGACAGTCAGCCTTCCCGTCTTCCCGAGTATACGAGCCGGATCAAGAGCTCGGTGCCCCGAAGGTGTGACAGTTTTGTACCTGAATTGTCATCTGCCTATGTTCACCCGCACAACACTGCCAGAAGCAGTACAAACTGAGCCACAAATTTAAGATTTTCTTTAGCCCATCAGGATTGCTCAGTGATCATGCATTGAAACTGTTTTATCGTTTATGCTTGATCATTATCACCAGCCCAGCTTCACGACAATTAACGGTGCAGTGGTGAGTTTGAATGTTCGTTCAGCTTCTAGCGTCTTACCCCAAGCTGCAGGTGGTACAGATCCATTAGTCCAGACGAAGCCGCTAAACGAAGCCGCACTTGGGTCAACAGTGGGATCATTTAGGAGTCCTACAAGCTCAGCTTCAGGGGTCAATATACCGTTATTTATCTCCTGACTCGACCACTCCGTACTGTCCCCAGCTGGGTGGCTCTGAGCACATCTAGAGGTCAATGCGATTCATTTTATTTTGATAGCATTCGCGCAGCTATGGTCACGGCGGACAACAATCGCCTCGACGGCCATAATGCTTACCACATCAGAGATTTCTACAGCCAAGGTTTATTACAGACTTTGACAATGATCCTCCCGTTCTCCTCTTTATGCGTAGCAACACTACTCCAACTTGTTCCGCTTACTGCTAAATTGCTGAGAAATTGATTACTACCTACAGAGCGCGTTTATGGAGGTAGACGTACTTAATTTTATTGGCTGATTTGAAGTAGCATGTTGCATATTTTTATCCCATCCAGCGGGGTCTTCAAAAACCCGGCGATTCCTTTGTTCGTTCACGGCACTCTGCCTACATACCCGTAGCCTGCCGGTACATGCATGGCATAGATGAGGGTTGGGAAGAGCTGGCTCACAGGAGGGCTTACAGGAGCCAAGTATTTTTGTGTGACATGCCAGGTATGCTTAAACACTTCCACCGACAGCGCCACAACACTCAGCGATCAGAGTCTTTACAAAACGCCACACGGGAGTTTCTGACTGAGTGCCAAGACCAACGGCCCTTCACTATTTTGCGTTGCATGACATGGAGTGGGAAACAGAGTTCGATATAAACTCTATCTATTTGAAAAAGTGTTTCGAGCGTTTAAGCGCGGCTACTGGCGGCCGCCCGTACTATGATATCTTTTTAGAAGAGCTGAAGTTCTAGATGGTCTCACAGGAACTCTCCTGGCAGACCCTGGTTCGTTAGTTTCTCTACTGGCTACCAAGGCAGGAAGGTGTTGAGGGATTGTTAGCCTGGGTATCTGAACAAATTTGCGATGGTATCGTTTCAACGCATGTTATTACATACTCAACTGCTTATCCTGGGTTTTACTTCCCGTTTCCTAATCTGAATCAGGAATCTTGCTGACGCAAGGCGTCACGCCTTGGCGGGTTCCCTGACTCTTGCTGAGAGCTTACACCCCGTTTTTGAAGATTGTCTTGTGTGTCGCGCACAGCATTCTGGAGCTCATCCACAATCACCCACAACCCGCTGGCCGCTTGCCGTAACGCCGGCGTCTGGTATCCTGGGTCTTGGGGAGCCATCAGCCGTCACTTATCCTGCCATCAGCCACACACCCCCAGAAATCGGCAAGCCACGCCCACCCGGCCCCGTCCCCCGGTGCCCGGCAACCCATGCCTCTATCCCTGCAGATAGGATCATCGTCAAGCGATGGACTGCTTGGGGGTGTACGAGAGCCGTTGGGTTGGCTCGCACGCCATGTCATGTACTGTACCCGCAATGCCGTTGGCGTCGATGGCCAGCAGTCTGGGATCGCTCGACATCTGCGCTAGTATCCGCAAGTCATCCAGCCTAGACCCATCATATCCCATGCAAATAAGGCCACAGATATTCACCGTACATGTGTGGACAACGGCACACCTCTAACGAGGCGCTCCGGGACTCGCATTTCGCGTGGCGGGATTGGGGGACTGGGATTGAGAGACTGGGACGGGGATGCACACCTCCGTTGGGCATTCTTTGATCCGTCTTGTCGCAAATCTAAGGAGCCAAGGCCACACCCAGCAAAAGTGTCCACGCCCACGCCTCTACCACGCGGAGGCGCTTCGGTCGTTTACCAAGCGGTTGGCGGTCATCCATCGCCAATCAGTCAATGCTGGAAGTTGGCAATTCTCTCAAGTATATCACTCTTCAACCGTCTTGATTTTCTATTAGATAGAGGCTTCTTTTCTCCTCTTTCTGCACGCTTGTGTTTTCTAACCTTATATACTTGGTCGATCGGCCGACAACTGTGGTAGACTTCTCCTAGACTTGAACCATCACGCCCAACCCGACAGTTTGGGTCGTGTTAGGATTGGTACATCCCCTCCTTTCCCTTCCTAGACCAGCTTGTTCCTGGTCTTGGGCTATCCGTATTAGGGTACCACCGCGTCTTTTACGGTGGCCTGTCTTAGCAACGCTGGCCCCAAAAAGAGCCGCGCCGCTGGTGTAATAATTGTATCCGATCCGAGGGGGATAGATAATTGCTGACCTCCCCCACCAACTATTCGGCGCCGGTTTACATTATTCGACCTCGAAGTTTTTCTACAGCAGTATTTCTCTAGCCTCAAATGCTCTTTTGCTGCCACTCGAGCCATATCGAGTAGTCCTCTCAATGGGTGTCTTACCTAGCATAGATTCTCGTCCTCGTTTGGTTTTCCCAAATACTCCTCCAGAGTCGACAAGCCCAGGCGCATCGACCTATTCCACTAACTCATCTGCGGATCGACCTTGGATCTCACCAGCCCCTACCTCACCATCCATGAACAACTATGACAAGTCTCTGACAACAGAAATGCCTGCAGATCAGAAGATGAATGGTGAACAGTCAAGGCCAGAGTCGACCACACAAGCTGCACCTCGACAACAGCTTCCTTCTTTGAGTAGTATCTTCGGACCTCCACCACCAGCTGGCAGACCAGCACACTCGCCCCTTTCAGAACACAACAACTCTTATTCTACTACATCTCCTCTGGATCGCACTCGTGCGCCATCTGGTGACAGACACCATACAACATCTTACTTCCCGCCCACCTTGTCGCCTTCATTATCACAACCACGCACCTACGACAACAAATTCGAAGCGGATCGACAGCCAACCCATGGTCTCTCACGGTCTTACTCTGGTTCAGCCTCTCCTAGATTCCGCAATGGCGAGCATGCCCGCCAGGAGTCAGTTACTGAAGGGCAATCTGGTCGATGGTCCGTTCATCATGAAAACCGATCTGAGTACTCTCTAGGATCTCGAGATGGTGCATTTCGACCGCCACAGGACCAGTTTCGGCTTCACTTTCCAAGTCCTAAGGAACGTGTGGTTCCCACTTACAACGATCAAGGGTCTTCACAAGGAGCTCCAATCCCTCCACCAACACCGAGCACTACGGCGACTGATGGTGTTCCCTCAAAGGATGGACTGGGTCCCAAGATCTGGACTGGAACGCATTTCTTACCTAGGTTTGTCAGGGCCACTGAGGTACCAGGCGAGGGAATGTGCTACTTTTACGACGATGGCAGTCATTGCAAGACAGTAATTGATGGTGAGGCAGTAAATGCTCACTGGGGTGTAACCAAGGCTGGCAAACCCAGAAAACGACTTGCGATTGCATGTGTGACATGCCGTGAGAAGAAGATAAAATGCGATCCTGACTATCCTCGCTGCGTTCAGTGCGAGAAGTTTGGTCGAGTATGCAAATTTAAGAATGCGTAAGTTGTCTCGAGCAGGATCGTTCCGAGTCAGATTTGTTAACATTCTCCAGGCCTCGAGGAGGGCATAACACATCACCATCGACACCGCCAGCTGAGCTTGACGATGTCAGGACATTGAATGGACCAACCATGCCCAATGAGAGCGAGAACAGTTCGCCGGTGTCGCCGCGAACCACTCTCCGACCCCAGTCTCCGGATTCGGGTTCCCACAAGAGGCTTCGATCGGGTTATGATAGTTACGTTTCGATGGGTGAGCCAGTGCATGCACTACCGCCTGTTGAGGCTCCCAGACCTCACGTCCCTATTCAACCTCCTGCAATTGAGCTTCCTCGAATTTCCGAAGACGTGCTCAACCAAGCTTGGCGAACTGACCCCTCCCTGTCCGACCCTCAGTCTATTCGTTCGGTCATCTCTCACTTTTTCGTTCATCTCGACAGCACCATGATCGTGCGATTCATCCCGGAGAGCGTCTTCAAGGCATGGGTTGTGAACCCGGGGCATCACAAGACACCGGAGGATTTGATGATTCTGTACAGCATTCTTGCTGTCGGTGTTGCTCTTTCTGGCGGACCGAAGGCCATCGCTTTTGAGTACGCATCTGTTGCGCACTATGCTCAGAAGTTCACCACAGCCAACTGTATTCAATTGGTTCAGACTAGAGTTTTATTGGCACTCTACTATATCTCAATCTCCCGCTCATCTGAAGCTAGTGAGATGATCTCAGCTGCGGTGGCTTCAGCAACTTGCCTTCAGCTGAATGTCGAGATTGAAGAGTCAAAGGAAGCCGGTCTCGTCACATTCCCATTCGGAATGAACAAGGCAGGATACTGTGAAGCCAGGAGAAGGACTTTCTGGTCTCTTTACATGCTAGAGCGACTTGACGGTCGCTTTCCTGACCATCTAGCCATGATTAACGCCGAAGATATCTATACCCGCTTACCCGCCAACTGTCAGAGTTTTGAGCGTGAGGCGGATGGGTTCGCTCCTGTCTTCAACCCTTACGTCTCGAGCGTTGCTACCGCGCAAGACCGTGAGTTTGGGATTTCAGCGTACCTAGTTGAGATGGTACACATCTGGTCCAACGACGTATGCCGGATCTACAGAATGGCTCGACGAGCGAATGTGATGGAAACGGATCTGGAGCCATCTCAACGAATTCTGAAGCGCATCCAGGAGTGGCGCAATGCCTTACCTTCTCGCCTGGCTTTTACCGCCTCAAACCTTGAGTCTGCAGCGCTGGCAGGAGAGCTGGGACCTTTCTTGACTATGCACCTTCTTTATAACCACGCCATGATCAAGCTCAGTCGCCATACTCTGGCGGCAGGACGTCTTTCGCCCCAAACTGCATCTCACAACATGCAAACATGCTATGAACACGCAACACAAGTATTGGATATGGCCAAGGCACTTGTGCGACTTCATCGTGGAGGCCAGACAGTTCTCAGTGCACCCGCACCAGTTCTAGCCATGGTTTTGACGGAAGCTGTTGATGTTTTTACAGCCAGTGGCCGTCTCTCCCATCTGGGCGACATTATCGAGAATGTGCACATGGTTCAGGGAGTGGTTCAGGCCATGTTTGCCATCTGGGACAATGTGCGGAACGCGCAAGAGGCGATTGACGGACGCCTCGCAATGCTGCATCGCATTCGAGAGCGAGGTAGCCAACCAGTCAGCCCTATGGAAGGCTACCGAGTCTTCTACAGTTCTGAAGGACGTGAAGAAGAGAAGATCCTTCGTTGGCAAATCAACAACCCAATGGAGAAGCTGTATCCCCGGGATATGGATACGATTTACTATCTACAATGATTTGAGCAAGCGGATTGCATGAAATGCATGGCACTGGCCGGCCACACGACGCTGATTTCTACCGTTTTTGTATCATTTGCATCTTCCTGCATTCACGACACTGCAGGCATGGTGTTCGGCATCAGAATTGGAGTATATGGAGTTATATACATAGCATATATGATGTCAGGCAGTCGATTGACTGACCTGTCCCTTGTTTGTTCCTGGATAGAGGGACTTGTACTGTTTTCTATTTTATTCATATTGTATGATATATCTTGCTATGCACATAAAGGAAGGAGTTCTGGCGTCTTACCCTCTGAGATTTGATCTCGAGTGGGCTGAGCGTTCTTGAGCCAGGCGGGCACAAAGATGATTAGGCATCTGGGCCATACCAAGTCTGTTAAAATATAATTGACGTCCAACGCTTTGTTGGACTTGAAGACACGATGATTTTCGGAGTAAACACTATTTGCAGTGAGTGACCAAGCTGATGCACCTCGAGTGATTGTTACAGGTTGAGACAAGACCGTTTGGAGCACTTGTGACAAGGACCTTGAGCAGTTTCATGGATACCATGTCTAGTGTGCGGCGTGATCTTCCTGTGACATGTCCGTCTCCTATGTTACAGCCGGACTCTCAAACCTATTTGTCGTTCCCACGGTTTACGGCCGGACGTCCCTTTTCAAAAGACCTTGCAACTCGTGCATATACGAATCCCTTCCTCCTCACATCAATGGGTGACTGTTCGTCTGTGGCAACGATATGGAGCATGACTGACACAGCCTCATAGGCGCTGATCTCGTATCTCGCAAGGATATTCTCATCCTCCAACACCTGGACATGGTACCGAACTCAGTAAGCACACAGGTCGGTATGCTGGAAACGAGCGCTCAGAAATGCCCCACGAGGATAGCGCGTAGCCTGTGATAGAGGCTTGGCAGAGTATTGGTTGGCGGGATAGCGAGATATGTGGGTGAGAATGGACTTGAGGGAAGGGAATCCTGGCTTCAACTTTGGGGGAGGGTTTGTTGGTTGGGGGCCGTTGAAGTTGTGGGTTGTGTAAGTGGTTCTTGATGGCCTCAGAGGTGGAACTGAAGGCGGAGGAGGTGGGATAACACCGTATCCTCGGCTGAATGCTCAGTAAAGTTTCATAGATAAATTAACTAAATACCTCGGGACGTTGTAATTTCAATACCGTACGTAGCGTGATCGATTTCTATGTCGTAAGATATTGGTTGTTGGTTGTAAATGATGCCTAACTTGATCACAGTAATGCTCGACCAACAAAGCCTCATTTAATACCAACTTCCTATCTCGTCCACTACAAAAAAGCCGACATGACACGTACATACGTACCACAAATTGCTTTGCCTCTCGGCATATGAGGTACTTATTTTTTCCAAATAACCTCGCATGTTCTCCATGTACATCATCATGAATTCTGCATCTGTAAGGTGGCCTATGGTTACACTGCAGTGACCATTTTTCGTACATACCGTTGAGGAGGGGGGAGTGTGGTTATCCGTAAAATTAGTCTGATTTACCTTACAGTTACAGTAACGTCCATAATCATCAGGTTGCATAGAGATATGCAGCTAGCCTGGTTAGGTAATGGACTGGAAACATGCATCTGCCACAGAAACGTCAGAGCTTCCTTCATCTCACTCTTTTCTCGACAATATCAATAATTATCAATATCTTGAAATGGGGTTTCCCGATAAGCCATCTGCTCATCTTTTGGGCGCTAATGGTAAGTTCCCCCCATATCTTTACTCTTGGCTTCAGGCGTGGCGTATCTATTCCCATCATATCATATCATGTCATATCCCACCAACTTATAACAGTTCGAGGCATATCCCGCGCTGACGCTTACACTAACACACACTGAAAGGCCCGGTCCATGCCCTTGCATACTCCGCCTCTCCAGGCACCTACATCCTCACCGGTTCCGCGGACCGATCCATCCGCCTCTACAACCCATTTCCCAGCACATCTGGTCCCGGTGATCGTCACAGCGTTGTTCCTCAGGGTCGATTAATTCAAACTTATGCTGCCCATGGCTATGAAGTGTTGAGTCTCTCTGTCGCTGCTGATAATGAACGGTTTGTGTCGGCCGGTGGTGATCGCAGCGTGTTCCTTTGGGACGTGAGCACCGCTGTTACGACCAAGCGGTTTGGTGGTAACGTTCATGGCCATACGGCTCGTATCAATTGTGTGAGCTTTGCGGGAGAAGGTGATTCTATTATTGTCAGCGCAGGGTTTGACACTACGGTGAGATTGTGGGATACGAAGAGCAACAGCTTCAAGCCTATACAGGTTCTCGACGACGCCAACGATGCAGTAACATGTCTCGCTATCCGTGGCCCTGAAGTCCTCGCAGGGAGCGTCGACGGCCGTGTACGCGGCTACGATATCCGCATGGGAAAAGTCACAACCGATGTGATAGGCGCACCCGTTACGAGTCTCAGTCTCACCCGCGACGGACGCACCATGTTGGTCGGAAGTCTCGACAACAAACTCCGTCTAATGGATCGCGACAACGGCTCCTGTCTACGCGCCTACACCGACCCAGGGTGGAAGAACGAAGATATCAAGCTGCAGGCGCTGCTGGGCGGCAAAGAGAAGTACGTAGTGGTTGGCGATGCCATGGCCGGTGAGCCTGCGCCTAACGGACAGGGAAGGATATGGGCTTGGGATTTGTTGACGGGAAAGTTGGCGGCTAAGGTGACGGTTCCTTGGGGGCCAGAAGGGTTTGAACCCAAGAAGAAAGCTGTCGGCCGAGATGGAAAGGAGAAGGCGAGGAGTAATGTTGTGAGTTGTATGGCGTGGAGGGAGGATGGTTGGGGAGATCAGTTCTGTGTTGGTGGAACATCAGGCGTGGTGACGGTCTATGGAGCCTTGTAGATACCATTTATACCCATTACTTTCAAGATCAAGCGCTAATACATTATCATCAAAGGTGTTTTCCAATTCGTACAGACAAGACATTGCCCATCATGATAGCCCTTCCAGCTTGCTTGAACATTAAGAGCTTTCCACCAGCGCCAACTTGTGGTACTAATTGCCGGAAATCAAAACTCTGTACCCCTTTCTATGCATCAAATATTGTCATAATGTTATATGAGACGAAGCTTGTTAGCCCATACCAGCGTACTTGAACCAGTTGGGTCGACAGTCTTCTCGATGCAACCAGGCCTCACCGTCGGTGAGACGACCAGTTACACAGCCCTTACATTTTGGTGAGTTGGGACAGTTGAAGAAGGGGATGTGTTGATATCCAATATCACGGAACCTAAGATGTTTTGTTAGTCTCCTTTATCTGGAAGAAAGGTCAGTACGAACCAATGAATCTTGCTCTGGTCCTCAAATAGACCAAGAGCAATACTATGAACTGGAGCATCACCCCATCGTTCATAGAAGAATCCGCCGGCACGATCAAGGTGGTTGAAGTAGTCTTCATAAGTCTTGCTCCTCCAAAATGACATATCAGCAATCTCAAAATTACTCCAGAAATGACATGTCGAGTATCCCTGAGCCTTTCTGTTCGTCGACGGCCGACGAATATCATCGGTGACCCAAGCTACAGCGCTATTCTCGTGGATAGCGTTAGGATGCTCAGCGAGAAACTTGACTGTCTCGGGCCACAACGAAGGTAACGTTTTGGGATCGTCGTAGAGGTTGATGGTGAAGCCGTATGTCTTGTTGTTATCGTGCATGTAGCGGAAAACATCGTAGTCAACATCGCAGAAGAAGTGCACGTTAGGCTCGACACGCCAGTAGTAGCGAATGTCCTTCAGGGCTGGATGCTTGTAGAAGAGACCGCTGTTCCATCGACACATTTGGTGGTATGATATCTTGCTTGCATATTGGACGCCGTTCTTTTCGAGGATCTTTGCGGATTCTTGAAATAGTTCTTCGTCGATCCAGGAGGGCATGTCCCAATGTTCCTTGGGGATGATTTCTGGTCGTAGAATCAGCATATACTCTCCCCTTCCTAGCCAAGGACCTACCGTAGTTACACTTTGCCTTCGTAGCTGCTCTCGTCTTTCTCTTGAACTCCTCTGTAAAAGGCTTGTCATTAAAAAACGTCCAGGGGTAGTTAAACTTGGAGTTCCATGTCCTTTCGAGGTCCTTCATCGACATAACCATAGCATCCACCTCCTCATTCCGCACAAGCGCTAATAGTGTCGCATCGATGCGCTCCGTCTTTTTCGCATCGTGGGCATATCTCGGACTCGTGCGATGTAACACTCCTTCTGGTTCGTCGGTAGCTATCACATCACTGTTAGCAGCAATTGGTGCCTCGATGCTCTGTGCGACTTACGATCTAACATAGGATCCCGTTCAAAATTGGAGTAGCGATCACCGGGACCTCTTAGGGACCATGACGGAGCAAATATTTGCCATAAAAAGAAACACCAGAGAATGCATCCGCCGGCGATCAACGCCCGAACTGGCCGCGCAACCGTCATGTTTTGTTGACGAGGATGTCGCAAGATAAACCAGGGTTACTATAACGCCAAAAAGAAGGAGACGGGGCTCAAATATCCATGAGCTAGAAAAGAATGTAACACTATAGCGACAAAATGGTGTAAATTACCGCTCTAGAGTAAATTGTCTTTGAATTGGTAGAATTGTTTCGAGCTTAAGGTATGCGAAAGGGGTTTTGGATAATTGAAGCTGATGTCACGACAGCTAAGCCAATCAGCTCCGATATGAGCTATCGTTGAAGCGGAGCTTGGACCCTGTTGACGCGACTGACGCGCCATCAACCACTGAAACCCCCACCAAATAATTCGTCAACAGTCATGATACGACCGCCATTTAACATGATAATGCGCAAGACATGAGAGACGACCATGGCATTTGCAGCAAGGCTGGGTGCTCTCACCGGAGAGCTCGTTGAGGCTGCCACTAACTCATCAGTTGAGGTATGACGTTTCTCAATCACAGCTTTGGAAGATGTATTCATGATTCCAGACGAACCCTCGATTCAAGGCCCAGCGCGACGCTGCTTTGCAAAGATTAAAGTCGCATCCATATCTGCGAACGAATCAATTCGAAGTCGAGCACCAACTGGACGGTCTAGAAGAGCGATTCCGTGTCAATGGCCGAGATGCGCTCGCCGATGCCCTTGTCGAGCGCCGGGAGCAGCTCCGACAAATACACTCGAATTTCCACCCTGAAGTTCTATACCTGATATTAGAGCTCTCAGACCAACCGACATATTACTCAAAACTGAGCGACCTAGATGCGCTGAAAACAGGACCAAGCGATTCAGAGCTCGAACTGCGTTGGGAGGATATTGCGAAGGAAGATGGATGGGAAGACGACCCTGCGATATGGAAGACGATAAAATACACCGACAGTTCAGATGATGAGCTTTACGAAGATGACTCCAAGAGTGAATCGGAGGCCAGCACTGATCCATCTGAGGTCCCGCTTGGACGAACAGCCGAAGATCTAATTATCAACCCCGAGGATATGACGAAACTGCACGAGATTCGAGGAGCGCAAGGTTGGCGAACAGAAAAGCCCACAGACGCATCTGGCCATGCTCGCAAAGTGCCAGTAACTGAATTTCAGATCGTTCGAGAAGCCTTATTCATGTTACAAGGACTTGATACGACACTCTTTGGACCCAATGGCACGGTCAACCCAGCATTTCAGATGGCCCATCTGAAATGGGATACTCACAAAGCTCTTCTGAGCTATTTCTCCGAAGCAGGACGCCAATTAGGTATTCTCAGAGATTTTGTCAGCAAGCCACAGCGAGCATCGCATATTCAGGTTCTACAGGATACTGTGGCCAAGCGACTTGATGATCTGGACAGAAAGTCAACAGGTATAGAGTCACGGCTTGTTGCACCTGAGAACAACGTGGTCGTCAGCTTATTATCGGTTAAGGGAGAGTTGGCAACCTCGCTTGAACCGTTGTATTCGCTTTCGAATATCATCGCTCAGATACAGAATGTGCCGAATCAAGGTACGTTTCGGTATCTTGAGCTTCTCTTTGACGATGCAAGCATGGCGCAACTATCCGGAAAGCTAGACGTTTATGAGTTTCTGGCACGCATTTTCGTCGAGTGCTTCAATGTTTACCTTCGCCCTATTCGCCTCTGGATGGAAGAGGGCAAACTTATTCCCGGTGACAAGATCTTCTTCGTGTCACAGGCACCAAGCCAAGTATCACCTAGCAAGATCTGGCGCGAACAGTTTAGGCTGCGTAGGACGGCCGATGGAAAACTACATGCTCCTAACTTCCTCCAACCAGCAGCTGCCAAGATTTTCAATGCTGGCAAAAACATCGTCATCTTGAAGCGACTGGGCCGTTGGATTTCTTCAGGCTCGGAGTGGACAATTCAAGAACCTCCCCTACACTATGAGACACTTTGTCCTCAAAGGCGGGAACTTGCACCCTTTTCGGAGCTTTTCGATGCTGCATTCGATGCGTGGATCCAGACTAAATACAACACATCCTCTACCACGTTGAGGAATACACTATTTGAAGAATGTGGACTCTGGTCTGCTCTTGAAGCTATGGAGCGGTTGTATTTCATGTCTGATGGTGCCGCAACAGACGCATGGACTAGCAGCCTCTTTGGAAAGCTAGATGCGCTGGATCCTAACTGGAACAACCGCTATAGCCTGACGAGTGTAGCACAAGAGGCATTCACAACCCTTGTCGACATGACAAGGATTTCCATATACATCAGTCCCACAGGACTAAAGGTGCCACTTCTCAAAGCTCGCGACTCTGTCAAGGCGGTTCTCCCGAGTACAAAAGTCAACTATCGAGTGGCATGGCCGATTCGCATGATTCTGTCTGAAGACAGCAACACCCAGTACGATGCTATATTTACTCTTCTTTTGCAATTGAAGCGAGCTCTGTATGTTCTGCACAAGCGCAAGATCCTCGAGAATTACTGGATCGATCATGATAACTGGGACGAGCGTGCTCTTTATTATTCACTACGGAATAACCTCCTGTGGTTCTGCACTACTCTCCAGACCTATCTTGCGACGCTCGTCTTGGCACCTAACTGCGCTAAGATGAGGCAGGACCTGCAAGACGCTCACGATGTCGATGCCATGATGAGAGTTCATGCTGCATTTTTGAAACAAGTTGTTGATGAGGCATGTCTCGGGAGTAGATTAACACCAATCAGAGAATGCTTTCTCGATATGCTCGACCTGGCCATCAGACTAGAGCAAGCGCAAACTGTCAACATGACAAAGGAAACAGAGCGGATGCAACAGTTTTCCCGTCTCTCGACCAGAAACCTTTCGCCCACACCCGGAACACCTGGATTGAAGACCAAGTACGTCGATAGTAGCGATGAAGAGGACGATGCGGAGAGGGATGAATCGAGGACTCTAAAGATGGGCAAGCCGTTTATGACTGTGCTCAAGGAGATAAAATCCGATTATGATAGACACTTGCGGTTTGTTTGTGGCGGACTGCGCAGTGTAGCCAGAGCTACAAGTGATGTTCAGTCGGCAAAGTGGGACATCCTAGCTGAGATGTTCCAAACAGGCTGCCGAGACGAAAGGCCAGGCTACGCTTAAGCCACGATATTGAGATTGGATATGAATATAATGATACCCCTTGTGAACAACATGTCCTTTTAAATGCCCCGTGAAATAAACTACCATTCATTCTTGAGCTTATCCGCAAAGAACTGCATCAAAGGCAACACCTCATCTCTGTTCATTGGCATGCTCACCTCACGTCTCTTCCACTGCACAACCTTGACATCATCAAACTCTCGCTTCACAGCATCAACAGCGTCTTCGTTGAGTTGGCATACCAACACGCTTGTGCTGCTCTTGCTGCGATTTGTGACTGTAGATACCATAGATTGCGGTAAAGGTCCACCGAGCGATATGGCGCCTTTGAACTTCTTGTTGCCTGGTGATGTGCTCTCACCCTCAGAAACATCAGTGACCCGAGGAGTTTTGTTAAGAGAGGCTGCAAGACCAAGAGCAAGTGAACCACCCTGTCCAAACCCAAAGAACATGATGTCTCTCATCTCCCACCCACACTTCTCAATAAGAACCTCCCCGATTAGCTTCTCCATAACCAATGTTCTGGCCTTCTCGAAACCAGAATCATCAGCAATATCTCCCGTGCTGGGATCCACAGTAAGATCATCACCCCAATGATACCCTGGTCTATCACCACCCAGAAGTGCAGCGGGTAGAACGGATGTGCCGCGTACAGAGATGGCGAGAACGCCGGGGAGGTTGAGGTTCTTGGCGAAAGAGGCGAAGGGAACGTCGTGGTCGCCTAGACCGTGGAAGAGAATGAGGAATGTGGTGGTTGATTCTGGTGGTGAGGGGAAGTGAAGAGTGTGAGGGAGGGTGCTTGATAGAGGGGAGAAGTCATCTTCTGTGGGGATTCGAGGAGGCATTTTTGTGGCGGTGTTTGTGAGTTGAAGTAAAGTGAAGTGAAGTGAAGTCAGTGGTTGAAGTGTCGCTTGTATGAAGGATGATGTACGCGGGCGGTTCGGACCCTAGATGAGAGTGTCAAAAATAATCAAACAAAATTCTCCTAAGCTTATGGTAAACTTGGCCAAGTTTATGCTGTACTTCCCTAAGCTTTTTTGTCGCTCAGTGTCGAGGTCTTGAGTTTCATGTTTCATCGCCGCCTGTAATATCTCTCCCCACAACCCCCACATTCGACGACATATGACAAACACAAATACGAGCAGACAAGCCTCGAGTTCCGAATGCAAAGCAATGTCATAACAGCGATTTCCGTTGTTGTATGGTACTGAACAGCAAGCGACTCCACATAGAACAATGCTAGAACACTACGAACTTGGCTCTACTGCGCTTCTCTGCCAATTTCGCGGGAGTCGAGTCCCCATCTGAGACTTCCATGCCCTGTAGTCAAATCGCATAGTCCTCCAAGCCCGTTGATCGCCAGCATCCATGAATGCCAATCCCGCAACTTTTCTCGGCTCTCCACCATCCGTGAACTGTATCAAACATGGCGCAATGATGTATGCGCTTGTGTGGTACCACCCGAGCTTGTATTCCTCTTCAGCAGACTGTGCTTGAAATGCCTGGCCCAGGACCTCCGCTCCGGGTTCACCTTCGATGAGTGACGTATAACGACCCCGTGGTGCAACTGAGTATCCAAAGACTTTGGCTTCTCGTAGTTTAGGGGAGTCCGAGGCTTCAAGGACCACTTGGAGTACGTCCGGGATCCCGAGATCGTCGTAGAAGAAGTAATAAACGGACTTGTAGTGATATGGGCACGGATCAGGAGGTTTCGAATTTAGATGAGCATACAAGACACAGTCTTCGGGAGCAGGTTCGTCTTTATCCAATGATTCTTTTGGTTCAGATCCGGTCGGTGTTGTTTTGGCTGGAGTTGGAGGAAGAGGAGGAAGAGGAGGCGGAGGAGGTGGCGGTCTGCGCCGTTTGGCTCCGGGCATGATGATCGATAAAAAGTGAATCTGAATGACGGTCGAGAATTAGAAATCTATAGAGACAACAAGACAAAGCGTGCTATCAGGTCTTTGCGGGAAGATGATGTTCAAGTGCTGGACTATGAAGTTGGCACTATTAGAAAGGTATTGTGCAGGCAGTGTCAAGCGCTGTTGACAGAAGCTCAGTGCTGAGAAGAACTACCGTCCACCAGCCTGCCTTGTCCATACCTACCTTACCTAGGTACCTTACAAGAGCACCTTGAGTGTTCCACAGGTAGGTAAGGTACAGTAGGTACTAATGGGTGAATTGGTTACAATACAAGATACCTACTTCCCTACCTATTCTACGTCACTTACCAAATCTAGATGTTATTCGCTCGAGTAACATAGATGTCGAGGAGCAAAAGCACAGAAGACTCTGAGTCAAGGGGTAAAAAGGGGTAAAAATAATGTAACGGAGATCATGTTCATTCATTATCTTGCTTGTAATATACGAGTTGTAAGATCTAACTCTTGCTTGCACGCTCATCGGAAAAGACAGTGACCTACCTTACCTTGTCTGTCTTATTTGTCTTATTTTTACGTGCTTCTCTTGCTTCTTCCTCTTCAATCCCTTTCTCTATAAACCCTTGCGCGAACTCATCCTAATTGCAGCGCTTGACCAACTTCTCCTCATCTAAGCTGCGGCGTCCGATCTTATCCGGAAGCTGCTTTTTCTTGGAAAAAATCCACTTGATATATCTATGCGTATTCACGTCGCATCGCTTAACCAGCTTATCTGCGGGCCTTGACCCGCGAGGGACCAGGTTTCATCTTGTTCCACTCGCCATCTGCTGTCCAGGTGCCGGCCTTGGTATAATCTCCACTCTCACTTCCATCCATGTATGCAAAACGGAAGTACTCTGGTAGATCCAAAGTGCTGTTTCTGCTCCAGACAAAGCTACGCTCCGCGTCAACATCGCCAAAGTATGTACGGAAACGCTCGACGTCGTTTACCAGGATACTAATCCCATCGTACAGCTGACGTGGCGGCTCGTTCCATGTGAAAGTGATGTTTGACAATGTGTCTGTGCCATTTGCAAGGTGGATGACAGGCTCGGTGATTGATGGTAATTTTGAGCCCTTTTGAGCATCACCTTGTAGAGCTTCAGAGGTTTGGAGCACAGGATCAAAGCCCCATCGAGCGATACCACTGATGAAGAGACCAATGAGAAGTCCCTGGTATAGAAGAGATGGTCTTGTCTGCATGCTCGTTCCAGGAAGAAGCAGGAGGGCAAGAATGTAGTGGTGAATCCGCAGGCTGAGGCTCGGAATGGTAAGGGAGATGAGGATGGCCACGATAAGGAGTGCGTAGAGCTTGAGATATTTGATCAGGCGCCCTTCTTGCCTAAAGAACCAAACCTGTGAAGAGACAATGACGACGAGCACGATTATGATAATAGCAAGAGCTGCCCTAGCGCCTGGTTGCTGATCCAGATCGTGCTTGTTAAGACGCTGAATGGGGATGAAGCTGAGGGTATAATTCTCCATTCCACCGACCCAGCATCCGCCGAGCCACAAGATTGTCTTTTCGATCTGGGCTGTGAGACCCTTGAGGGTGCGACGAACACCCATCTTGTCGTACATGACCCATGCGCAAAACATGGCGGGGAGGAACTTTCCGATCAAATTGGAGAACAAAGCCGCAACTGTTTTAGATGGAGGCGGGTCAAGTGCCATACCAACAGTCCAGAAGATGGCCGTGAAGATGGTGAAGAAGAAGAGGGGAGCGGAGTTGGTGAAGAGGGACAAAACTCCAGCAAAGACAGTTGAAACAGCCAACAATTCCCAGCGTGAATCGACCGCAGAACATTTGACATCCGGAACGAAGCGGAAGGACAATGGGAAATAAGAGTCAAATCCCACACTTGAAATGCCATGATGTTTGGACGCAGCATAATTCTCATCACGGCCCACCAACTCAACAACACCACACCCGCCGTCTTGGTTCGAAATGATACCGGCGTGAATAGCAGCAGCGCAGACGAACGAATCTCCGCGGTACACGGGCTCAGCAGACCCATTGGTACCCGGCCCTCCTATGACCATGGGCGCATAGATAACCTCTTGGTTTCCAACCGCTCTTGGGTTCAAAACATGGTAGCTTTCGCAATTGGCCCTGCACCTGAATGGGAAACCACTGCCATTGAAAGGGCGACAGTCGCTTCCATCCAAACCGCACAAGTTTCCAGCGCCCCAGTATGTAATACCGCATCCAATGGTTTGTGGTGTGCCCCAACCTTCGATCTCGCTGGCCATAGTGTCGCGGCGTTTAACAAGGGCGAAAGTGATGATCCAGATGGAGAGATAGCAGAAGACAAGCCAAAATCGGTATTTGAGCTTGGGAATGATGCGCTCGACAAGGACGAGGGGGTATTCCTGGATAGCTGGGAAGAGTGGTTTAATGCGATAAGGTTCAGGGTTTACAGGACCGTGAGACCATGTCGCAACCCATTTCGAAGCTCGTCGAATGGGATATGGGACCCAGTTCCATCGCTTCCTTGAAGTCTCATCTTGGATAAATCGTGGGGTCGAGGGACCGCTATCATCGACTTCGAGTGTCGTTCTGGTGTCGAGCGGCGCATCAGGATGAGCATTCTCGCGGTCGCTGTCGCTGCCGCTGACGGGCACGACGCCGACGTCTATAGAATCGGTGCGAGCCATTAGAGGTTGTGATTCTTCGTCGTCTTCATGGCTCACCATTGTCGGGAGCTCAAGAAGAATTATATAGAAGAAGATACGAGGAATGGATTGCGTATACGAAAGTTAATGGCCTTTGGGCTTGGCTCTCGGCGGATTTGCCTGCTCCGGAAGACCCGATGCCGAAGGATGCAGAGGAAATGTGGAGAATGGGGAGCGCTTATCGAGGTTTGTGTTTCGTGATGATCCTATTGTGTCGCACTTTGTTTTCGTTTCTGGCGTGAGTGCGGGGAGATACGAGACTGATGATAGGCGATGTTGAGTCGATGATGGTTTAACATTTGATATTGAAGTTTGAGGCGTGAAGTCTCTTTGTCCACTCAGTTACATCGTGTACCTCGATCGCTGAGACATGGATGTCAGACGTAACCCTGGGGTATCGCTGTATCTATCCGCGAAAGTTTATGATAGTGATTGGTTGAGCATCAGCCCTGCGGCCCGGATGTAGTTCCCGTGAGACGTGCGCTAAGAAGCAGGAACAGTTACAGCGTGCGCCACTTTTATTTATTCTCAGTAACTTATATCAACGCACGCGACCAGACTCTGCACATGAAGGCCGTATACAGGTTCTTCAGTGATTGTTTTACGGCCAAGGCCGCGTATGTTCCAGAGATTTAGAGTGGCATATCTCTATCTTGGAGTACCTGGGTGTCACATGCACAACAGTCCAGCTGTTGTTGCATCTATTGTTTGTTGAACACCACGACAGCCCAGCAACCAGGCTCTCGGTAGTTTTCAAGTTGTACTAACGAGAAACTTGCACAATTTCGTTTCACTTCGGTGTAACTTCCGTATCTCTACCCAGCCTCCTGAGGTCTTTGTTATCATTATGCTCAAAACAGCCATCGCAAGTAAAGAAATAACAGGTAAACAAACAGACAGCATGGCGTCGAGTCATACTTTTGTAGATCCTCGGGACTGCAGGGATTCTGATAGTCAAGGTGTCTCTCCTGTATTTTGTTGACTTTCTATAGGAGTCATGGTGGATACAACATCGATAGACTCAGTTGAACACACTCAAAACCATCAAATTAGAGCAAAATGCAAAGTAACTTGCAGCTAAGTTTAATATCGTTGGCTCTATACCCCAATACGCCTGTGCCCTAAATTGCCAGCCTATCTTTATAAAGCTTCGTCTTTTCTAGTGGCATTCATCGATATCCTCTTCTGCCAAACTTGTGAGTTTCCAACCTCATCATTTCAACCATTGCTCATCTGAAGTCATGATCACCACTCTCCAGCAACCATTCTACCGGAGTCACGCCGTCATACACACTGCGGCCTCGATATTCTCGGGGTTGTCTCGGGCCCGTATCCCAACCCCCCTCGCACGTCTTCCACAGCGCCAATGTCGACCATCCATCTCTCACCTGCAGCATCAAACCCGAGGACTACGGACGATTTACCGACCATATCCAGCCACGTCACTCTGCCGTGATCTGTCAACAGAGGAGAAACTTGACAAGCTCATGGCGTCTGCAGCAAGATTCGAACAGGAACTCAAACCGGTTGGGACTATCAAACAACGTCTCGCAACCATTGATCAGAGAACCTCCGATCTTGTCGGGCTTAAAGAGGAGCTTGCTAAATGTGCTGAGCGACAAGAAATCCAATCTATGGCAGATAGGCTCGCCGCAGAACGTAAGTATGAACGGAGCGAGGCTAATTTCGATCGATTCGGTAAGGAAACGCATCATTATGTATTAATCCAATACTAAGAATCTCCTAGCGAGTGGCGTGACTGTCACAGTGTCTATGCTATTAATCTTCTGTGTGGTTAAAACCGCATTAGCATTCGCTACCAAGATGGAGGAGAAGGAGTCCACCAAGCCAGAATCGAAGAGTCTAGAGGAGAAAGACACTCCCCATTCTGGTTCTACAAAGATCTATAGGAGGGAGGTCAACAAAGCCGAGCCGGAAACCCCTGAGCCAAAATGTATGTGTCATCGCCCACTTGAGCTCGATAATGCACAAGTGCTGTGATATCTGATATCATAATGGGGCGCGCGCTCGGATCAACCACATGGAGTTTCGCATATGGATCATGCCTTCTCATGAGATTTTAGGCCGGCACTGAAATTTCACAACTCTTCTTTTTCCTCTTGTATATATTATATACCCTCGACTCAACCTGTCAGTATCATAGTAGCTTGGCCTAATAGTTTATTTTGAACACGACATGCGTCAGAGCAATCTCATGACTTCTTGACCTTTTGGTAGTATTCCCCAAGTGAAGAAAGCCGCGAAAGAGTACCACCTATGGAATGAAATTCTCTTGCTCCTTATACGTAGCAGATTGTATCATAGGGTTAAAAGTATCTAGTCTCTTGATTTTGGTCATGGTTATTTCTCTTGGTGATCCTCAGGGAGCAAGAAAACTTCTGACCGGGAATTAAGGTGTTTTTTTTTTTAAAAAAAAAAAAAAAGACTAGCCTAAAGGTCTACTAATCTATAATAAATTTGCCTAAGTTTATATTAAATTTACCTAGGTCTTTTTGTCACTTAGGATAGAAATCAGAAGTTTTCTTGCCTCCACAGCCTCTTACATCGGGTTAACCTCGGAAGTAGAAGCACAGTGTAAGCAGTGCGCACTCACACTTCCTTCCCACATCTAGGTAATCCTTGCTGCAAATACTCACCAGCTGCTTGTACAGACATACAAGGCGAACACAAGCCAAGATGACCCAATCTACATCAAAAGAATCAACACTTACAATGTTTGAGCTACTAAAGCCCGCTGAAGCCGGTGTTGCTCGGCTTGGTCGTCTAGCATTCGCTGGTGGTCGAAGGACTATGCAGACACCAAACTACATCGCTGTTGCATCTCGTGGTGTTGTTCCTCACTTGACACCAGACAATGTCACCAAGCACACAACATTTGATGCCGCATATCTAGCAATCGAGGACTGTATGAAATTGAAATCTCTCTTTGAGTGCTAGTCTAACTTTGAGAACAGTTCTCGAGAAATCACAACCTCCTGTTCTTCAGCTGCCCCCTGGTACACCAAGAAATCTTCAAAGTTTTACGGCTTTCCCTTCAGATCGAGCACTTGTTCTCGGCCCAAGACGGTTCCCAGCTGTGACAACACCTGTTGGAAATGGTGCTCATCATGTCAGCATCTTTACGTCTACCGGTTTCCGCAATCTCACTATCCCTGAGTTCGCCAAGACTATTGAGCTCACTCAACCAGATATCGCCATTCCTCCAGCTGACCTCTTCCACTCCAGCTCAACGCCAACATCAAAACGTCAGATTCGCATGGTTGAGAGAACCGAAGAATGGGTAGACGAATTCTTCCACCTGTCAGACCCCAAGGGCTGTCTGAAAGAAATGGGTGTTTCCATCTTTGCTCCTGTATTGCCTGTCGAGTACCCTATACAGTGGGACTACCTACGGTATCTTGCAGAAGACGTTCGAGACTGCCTCTCTGGTCTTGCCGTTTATGATGTTAACCTTGTACCTGAGCTGGTGAACTATCCCTCTCTTGGATCTCTGCCGCGGTTGTCATTTGGACCATCTAAGAGCCCCCAGGATATTCTGCGACAGATCGCTCTCGGTATCGATATATGCACAGTACCTTTCGCCAACACCGCCTCCGATGCAGGCATCGCCCTATCATTCACCTTCCCACCCCCTGAGTCTGCCGACATGCAGCCACTGGGTATCGATATGTGGTCAGAGGAGCATACAACATCCCTGCAGCCTCTAGTGGACGGTTGCCAATGCTACACTTGCACCAAGCATCACCGGGCATTCATCAAGCACCTACTGAATGCAAAGGAGATGTTGGGCTGGAACCTACTCCAAATTCACAATCATGCCATTCTCAGTGCATTCTTCGAAGGCGTCCGAACAGCTCTAAACGAGAGCGCCGAGAAGTTTGACGAGCTTCACAAGAAGTTCTTGACTGTTTACGAGCCCGAGGTCCCTGCTGGAACTGGAGTAAGGCCCCGAGCCAGGGGTTACCACTTCAAGAGCATAGCTGGTCAGACTAAGATCAACGAGCCTAGCTGGCAAGCGTTTGATTCGGTCGATGCCAGTCCCCACCCCGAGGCCATTGCAGAACCACTGGCAGCTGTCGATGGAACACTGCCCGTCGATGAGGTTGCACCGAGTTTGGAGAAGTGACGGAACTAATGTAGAAAGCCGTTCATGTCATGTCAGGTACGGTCGCTGCGAAGCTGTTATTCCGACGATCTGGCTCGGCCCACCTTCGATGCATGTTGATCAAGGGACAGCTGTGCTAGGGGAGGCAAGAAAACTCAGGATCTCTATCCTATATGACAAAAAGACTGAGGTAACTTTAGCATAGATTTGATAGACCTTAGACTGGTTGTTTTTGGCATCTTGCCTGAGAATCAGAAGTTTTCTTACTCCCTGAGGCTGTGATCTGGATTTGGGAAGCAGACTGGTGTTTGATCACCATGATTCCACTTGACGCAGTTGCCGATCTTATTAGAGCCTTAGTTCGATTGCGGGACTTATAGAATAGAATAGAGCCTAACACATATTACGCCCGGCTTCTGGCACAGAAATAGACAGCAAAAAATAAAGCCAGTTCTTTCAGTTCATCCGACATTTCCGTGAGCCAACACCACAAAAGATAAGAAGAAGGTCTGTTCACATGCCGAGCAAGAGTCCGCTCAAGAGTCTATGAACATACGACTTGAAAGTTTATTGCCGAGCTTCGTAAAATTGCAGGTCCAACCACTCAATACCGAATTTGGAGCACGTTTCGGTGAGCCATATGAGGCAGCTCCGAACGGAATTACACAGCTGATCTTATCTTCACCAACAGTCTAGAATGTGCGTATTTACTCTCTACCTGCCTATAAGAAGTAAGGCGATTACGGAGTAATAAAAAGTCCTATGCAGATATTTTCATAAACTTCACTAACAGCATCCTAAGTTTACGATGAAATTAACTGAGTTTAGGCTGAAATATGACTGATTCACCACAGTGGGATCTTCACCTAAATATTCTGCATGTTTTCGCCAGACATACAGAATTAAACAAGAGAATCGTATAGAAAGGTCACCAGTAGTTGGAGTGTTACGCCACCTACGCCGAGAACCCACCGGAGACTTGGTACGACGTCAAGTAGCAATTCGGCCGACAAGGCCCGATCGAGTTATGCTAAGAAACAAGCTTGTCTGCAAAGTGGAATAAGAAGGATGAAGCTTAAGCTTGATTCAAGCTAGCCAAGGCTTGCTCTCATGGATCTGGGGATCTGTGGAACTGCGGGAGCAGGGGTACAAGAGCCAATTGAACCTCACAATTCGCCCACGAGCGGCATCTGAGCTTCTGGAGAGAGCCACAGCCGAGAATCCTTGTCCTGTTTCTGCTCCGATCTCAGCTGCAACTGGTGCTCTCGGGTGAACTTGAACTGGGATATCATGAGCCGGGACGTGGCGTTCATGTTCGGTCAACGACTTGGGACAGGAGAGGAATAGAAAAAGGTTCGCCAAGGATCGGGGATGGGGATCGGAGATACAACATGTCAACGCTCATCATGGCACCTGGGTTACATGAGGGATCATGATTTGACCTGTTTTGACTAGCACCAACGGCGTGCATCGCCCTCCCCGCTGCCAATCCAATGATTTGAATCCATGATAGGCACTCCGTCATAGAGAACTGACAAGCATAAGTACTGGTTGCAGGGTCCTTTTGCAAGGTACGGACCTGGCACAACTTACACACGTGCTATAGTCCTCCATCATGAGGCGCCAATCGCTTCCGTGATGCAACACAACAGATGCACTTTTTTTTCATCCCAACACACTGGGTCTGCCCGTACTCTCTCTCGTCGATCTAAACCTGTCTCGGGTGTTTGTCCTGGCCGTCTCCTAAGCTTAATTGGCCAGATGCAATGCGACGTTAGGCCAAGATCAGTTCATCATAAGTCTCCTCAGCTTGTCCCACAGAGGAAGGCCAATTGTCTATCCACGACATGGGATAGCTTCTCGGGGATGAATTTGTCTTCCGAGAGGCAGCTATCCACGTGGGATCGGCGCAGACGGTTATAAAGCATCATGCCCTCTCTGAAAGTTTAACTTATCGAGCTCCCCTCTCAAGCTGCCTCAGCTCGCGCCAATCACCAGCTTCCGCTTCTCAATTCTTGGAAATTGGGTCCAGATTCATCAGAATGGTCAAAATCAATGCCATTGCCGCTCTTGCGGCTTCGGTTGCTGCTGTGTCTGCTCAGACTTACCAGCGTCTCGGCACATGTCCCACTCTCGGCTGTGTTCTTCCTCCCGACCAGAGTGATTTCCTGCCCGGTCAGCTCTTCGATCTGCGTGTCGAAGTCCACGCTCCCGTCAACGGCTCCGAGGCTGCTCACAACGGAAAGCCTGATGAGAAATTCACTGTGACCATCGCCAAGAAGGGCGACAAGGCCAAGGACTTTGCAAAGACCTTTGGCGTCAGCGAGCCCAAGCTCGAGACATGGAAGTTCAAGTGGTACGAGGATCTGTTTGCCGAAGACGAGGACAAGCCCAGCATTGTCAACGTTGCTTCCAAGGTCTACCGCAAGATTGCCCTCTACGAGCCCGGCACATACACCGTCACCCTGAACTACTACAACGGCGAGAAGACCACTGCTGAGTGGACTGTTCGCGAGCTTCACCCCAAGCGAAAGGCCAAGAACGTCATCTTCTTCATTGGTGATGGCATGACCACCAACATGGTGAGTTGAATCACAATGTGAGAGGCTTGTGGAAGCTAACTGGTTTCATAGATCACTGCCGCCCGTCTCTTGGGACACAAGAGCATCAACGGAAAGTACCAGACTCTGATGAAGCTGGACGAGTTCCCCGTTCTCGGTCACCAGATGACCCATTCGATCGACAGCTACATCACCGACTCTGCCAACTCTGCCTCTGCTCTTTACACTGGCCATAAGAGCACTGTCAACGCTATGGGGTAAGAAATTCATCTCTGGATTTGAGAATAAAAGCTAACAAGTCAGTGTTTATGCTGATTCATCTCCCAACCCCTTCGATGACCCCAAGGTCGAGACCATTGTTGAGGTCTTCAAGCGTGTCTGGGTAAGTTTAACCCCAATTGAGTTCACTCTCAAATTCTAATGGTAGCAGGGCGGTGCTTGGGGTGCTGTTTCTACCGCTTTCCTTGCCGATGCTACCCCCATTGCTCTCAGCGGTCACACCCGTCTCCGAGGCCAGTATGGTCCTTTGATCGACCAGGCTCTCAACGGCATGACCAACTACAGCTGGACCCAGCATGGAGGCCCTGATGTTTTCTTCGGTGGTGGTGCTGAGAACTTCTTCGCCGGAAAGGGCTCTTACCAGGGCAAGGACTACTACAAGGAATTCCAGAAGAAGGGTTACACTGTCTCTCTCAACAAGACCTCTCTCCTCAAGGCTGACAAGAGCAAGCGTGCTCTCGGTGTTTTCTGCCAGAGCAACCTCCCCGTCTGGCTCGACCGCAATGTCTACAAGGACAACCTCAAGGGCCGCGAGAACAACCCTACCGGCGGTAAGGGTGATGCTTCTGATCTCCCTGGTCTCAAGGACATGACCCTCAAGGCCATTGACATTCTTGCTACCCGTGGCAAGGACAAGGGTTTCTTCCTCATGTCCGAGGCTGCCTCTATCGATAAGCAGATGCACGCTCTTGACTACGACCGTGCTCTCGGTGATCTTCTTGAGCTTGACGACACTGTCCGTGCTACTGTTGAGAAGCTCAAGAAGCTCAAGATCCTTGACGAGACCCTCATCATTGTCTCTGCTGATCACGGCCACGGCTTCGAGTAAGTTTACCTCGTCAATAGCCTTTACATCAGATAACTAACAGTCGCAGCGTTTACGGTTCTGCCGACACTGAGTACCTCGCCCAGCAGGAGGATGACCGTGACAAGCGCCGTGCTATCGGCACCTACGCTCAGTCTGGTGAGTCTCAGTACACCAAGAAGGCCAAGGGCATCAACTACGGCACTGGCGCCAACTTCCCTACCAACTGGGAGCCTCGATACGCCATCGCCGCTGGTGTCGCTGCCGTCCCCGACCATCGTGAGGACTACAAGGTCAAGAAGGCCGGTCCCCGCGAGGCTGCCGTCGAGCTCAAGGACGACGACTACTACGCCAACCCCGAGGACTCTCCCAAGGGTTTCCTCATCAACGGTACTATTAGCACCGATAATGCCCAGGGTGTTCACTCTCTCACTGATGTCCCTGTCTATGCTCTTGGTCCTTGCCAGGAGACTTTCAGTGGTACTTTCAACAACGTTGACATCTTCTACAAGATTGCCAACTGCCTTGGTCTTGCTCAGGGCAAGAAGCAGGGTTATTAGAAAATTATTAATCGGCGGTGGTGGTGGGCTTACGACGAGATGAATGAGTGATGTGTAAGTTGGTAGATGATAAGAGATGCAAGTGCTGCGAGGTGTAATAAGAGGAACTTTTGACCAATGAGCAATACAAATTTGAATATTTACAGATTTTTATTCATTCGCATTTTGTATGCGAGCGTATCTGGTTGTCAATTGTTACAGATTTCTTGTGATCTTCCTCGGCCCATCGCATTTTGATCCCTTGGGTTTCATTGTTGATAGCAAATTCCGCGGCAATTCCAGACGTTCTATAAGTCGTCACTCATAAATCATAAATTCATAACCCTTTCCTTCCATAACATTTCCCATATGATACACGTGCGATGTGACCTGGCGTTCGTCAAATTTCGAATGCATCCTAGTCAGTAAAAAATCTGCTTGCCGATGTCATGGGGGGATAACTAGTCCGTAGTCTGAAGGCCAAGCTGATCAATCAGCGACATGACGCCGTTCATATCGGTAGTCTCTGGATCATCATGATCCTTGGGTCGAAGACATTCGCCATTCAGCCAGATAGAGAGACCATCATGGTCGTGAGCACGCTTTCGAAGTTTCTGAATCTCAGGGCAGCACACTCCGCCGGCGACAATGAGTTGGATGTGCGTGGTATGATAGCACATGGCGTTGAGTCGCTCAACGTGATTGGAGAAGAGACCTGGCCCTCCAGCTGTCATGATACCCGTGAAGCCGAGAGTGGTGAGCTCTGCAATGACATCTCCTGGGTTTCCACGTTCAGTAAAGTGGTCGAAAGCACGGTTGAAGATACAACCAAATGGCTTGGCCATGTCGATGAGATAGCGACAGTATGCTCGATCAACCACAATTTTGTCGCGAGAGTTCTGAGTCGTTTCCTCATGGCTACGCCTAACACATCCAAAAACGAAGGAGTCTCCGCGGATAGGATTCATGACGCCTGCTTCTTTGAGCTGGCGAATAGACTCACTCATCTGGACGAATTCATTGTTAGAGTAGATGTAGTCGTGAGACTCGCCAGGAGCAGAAGGGCTAGGAGCTCCACGAGGTCGAATGGCGCAGCTGATTGGGATGTGGATCTTGTTTTTGAGATGGCAAAGCTCTTGGACGGTGGGAGTGAGTCCGCCTACGGCAGAGGAGCCTTTTCGGCAGAGGAGAAGACGTTTTGCGCCAAAGTTGGCAGCTCTAAGAGCGTTGTGGGGGCCATAGACTGTGACCTCCAGAGGGATCTGTCGTGGGTGTTTAGCTGGTAAAGGAGGCATCTTGAATTAGTCGAGATGGTTGGTTGATGTTAATTTGAGGACACTATCAGATGGATGAGAAGAGAGAGGTTGTGATGCTGTGAAGATGAAGTCTGAAGACGATATCGGTGAAGAAGAGAAGGAGTCATATTGATCAGCTGAGAGTATTCGCTTATCAGGTGACGATGATGCCATTGTAAACTCCCTCTTTCAGCAGCGAAGCACAGCTCATACCGGAGTTGATGGTGACTGCCATGTTGTATAATCGAACGAGGTGTTGAAAGGAAACCATCTTTGCTTAGCACCCAGCGAAGGCGCGTACGGGCAAATCAATTTATTGCTTAATTCTCGGTAGATTATTTATGACTTTCCAAGATATCGTCTTCTATCAGAAGGCGCCCGTGATTAACTCGTTGGTGTTGAGGTTGCCTTGCCAAAGCCCGAGTGCTCAGACCTCGCCTCATCCCGCCACGATACGTAAATGGAAATCAATTAAACGCCCCTCAGCCAAGGATACCCCGCTAAGATTGCACCGCAGTGGAGCCCCTCACCCCTGTAAGAAACACAGAGCTTCTATTTACAGTGGAGCAGAGTGACTGCTGGACCACTAAAGCCACGCGTTTCTGCAATGTTTTTAGGGGACCTGCAGAGGCAAAAAAAAATTACCGTGAAAAAAACAGGGGTCTTCCGGCGGGAGAGCCAATGACATCAGCGGGAACCCCACCTCAAGAAAAAAATGTTGATTTTCACCGCTGAGGAGCTTTCATAGCTTGAGATGAGATTTTTTTTAATGGGTGCGGGCAGAGCTCTTAGTAAATAAATAAAGCACCTCTACACCGATCTTCCTCTTCCCTCTCTCCTCTTTCACATCTTTCTCTTTTTGGTGCTTTTATACTCTACAAGATACCCCTCACTTTCTCTATATATATCGAGTGATTTGAATGCATCCTGATTCTTTCAAGTTAAAGTTCAAAATGTCTGCCGGAGATATGCACGACGAGCAGGTCAAGGAGGCCCTCATCACCTATGAGAAGCTCCAGGCCATCGAGGATGACTTTGAGGATGTTGAGCTCGAGATCCGTCAGTCTATTTTTATCTTTGTCTCATAGAAACTCTACTAACAGTAACAGTCCGTCAGCAGGATAAGCTCACCAAGGACCTCTACGTCAAGCGTCAAGAGGTCATCGCCAACATCCCCCAGTTCTGGCCCCTCGTTTTCGAGCAGTCCCCTCCCGAGGTCGATGAGTACATCCAGCCCAGCGACTCTGAGCTCCTTCTCAACGCCCTGACCGGCCTCTCCGTTGAGCGCTTCGAGCTCCCCAATGGTGACCCTCGCTCCATCTCCCTCAAGTGGGAGTTCAAGGAGAACGACTGGTTCGAGGACAAGGTTCTCGAGAAGAAGTTCTACTGGCGCTTCCACAAGGATGGCTGGGCCGGTCTCGTCTCCGAGCCCGTCGACATCAAGTGGAAGGAGGGCAAGGATCTGACCAATGGTATGCTCAGCCTCGCCAAGAAGGTCTACGATGAGGAGAAGGCTGGCAAGAAGCTCGGTGAGACCGAGGCCTCCAAGAAGCTCCACAAGCTCATGGAGGAGACTGGCATGGGAGGTGTCAGCTTCTTCTGCTGGTTCGGCTTCCGTGGCCGCAAGGTCAGCCCCGAGGAGTCTGAGGAGGGCCGCAAGCTCGAGGAGGAGAAGCGCAAGGCTCGAAAGGAGGGCAAGTACGAGGAGGACGATGATGACATGGATGAGGACGACGATGATGATGAGTACGAGTATGAGATCTTCCCCACTGCCGACGATCTCGCCGTCTTCATCGCCGAGGATCTGTGGCCCGGCGCCATCAAGTACTTCAGTATGTACCTTTCACAGCGTGAAGCAGAGACAGTTCAGGTTTAACAAGCAATACTAGCCAACGCCCAAGATGCCGATGATATCCCCAGCGACCTCGAATTCGAGGAGATGGACGAAGATGACTCTGATGACGATGAGGCCCCTGCCCTGAAGAAGCGTAAGGCCTAAACCGTCCAATGATTTTTTATTTTTGTTTTCATGATGATCTAATTTTTCTCTTGGTAAAGAATAGACTAAGGCACGCGGAAGAAATGATGGCTACGAAAAAACGGTTATGGGATTAGGAAAATGGAATGGATTTACCGATTGGGTTTTCGGTAGATAATGAAATAAAAGGATCGAATTCATCAACAATTTCTGAAGTCTTTATGTGATAGGTGTGGAGCTATGACAAAATGAAGTGATATCGCACGCTGCTCTACATCTTTGCCATGGTATAACTTGAGACTCGCAAGGGACGGCTTGATCCAGAGACATCAGTTCTTCACACTTTGTAAAGCACAATCCTGGGTAAACTCCGTTATGCCAATGAATGAACCTCGGCAGGCCGTTGATTCTGCTGATTGATTGGTGATGTCTCTCTTCTTACAGGTCGTATAAAGAGCGGGGCATGACACCCTCTGATGATGTCAAGTGATGGAAATCTGGGGTAGCTTCCTCTTTGTGGCTGTTGAAGGTATAAACGGGAAATAAATAAACACGAGACCACGTCAATTCAGCAAATGATTCCAAAGAGTTACTAATTCAGACTTCCCTAGAAGTGCGAGATCCAAGATCTGAATCTATCAGGTCCGTCTTCATTTGTCAGCCCATCTTGTATGTGATATCATCGTCACCGAAGTACACATCACATATTGTTACATTTCAAAAAGGCTGCGTTTCTTTGTACTGTCTGTCGTCACATTTATATACCTGGTAGTTCCCCTCATGTTGGCGAGATCGAGTTTGAGAGTCTTTGCTAGACCTATTACGAGAATACGATACTCAACAATGGCGACTCCTTTCAAGATTCAACTGGAACCCCAGAACTCGGGGCTGTTAGGGTTGAAGCTTGGCCAAAGTGAGGCCTCGAAAGCGACTGATTTACTTCAGAAGGATCTAGAGGTATGCTGACCTGAGTCAACACTCTTACGTATCGAGTCAAAGACTAACACGGATCAGAATCACCACGTCTTCTTCAATGAATCTGGTTTTCATGACCATGTAAGTCCCCTTCGTAAAGCTGTCTCTATACGTTTCTAACAACACTAGATTGTTCATCATGTCTTGACTTTGTATGGTACCGGCGCAACAACAAAAGATCTAGACACAGCCTACAACGCCAACAAGACATATCAGCTTAAAGCTATGAAACCAAAGTCAGATGTTGTTGATAAATTAGAACACGGCTCAGACTGGTCAGAATATCTTGGCAAAGGTCGAAACTATGCTACCTTCTTTCGTTTCTTTCAGGGCGAAATCGAAAGAATCGGATGGCAGGACACACTCAAGGAGTATCTCTTCAAAGACGATGCACGAGGTCGCGACATGCAAAGCCGTCTGTTTGCCGGTATTCTTCATCCCCTTATTCAGTTGCTCTATGGTATGGAGTGGTCACAACCCATGATCATTGCTTCAGCTCTCGCGCAGACTGCTGTCCATCGAGATGATTACAAAGAGTTTCTCGCAACCACTGCTGAAAAGGCACAAGCTTCCGATGCGCCACCTAAGATGAAGACCATCGGTGGCCTTTATGAAGATGCTGTTAAGAATGAGAAACTTCGAACAAGCTCACATTGGGATGATTCAAATCGGATCTTTGATGGTGTGTTTACCAGGGCGAAGGATGAGATGATCACCTTGGCTGCGAGAGTAAGAATCGGTGAAGATGAGCTGGACGAAAGGATTGCAGAGATGGTGCATCATTCTGCTTTCGTTGCTTCAGCTGCTGCTTTTCATCCTCCTCATGCTCCAAGATTCGAATTCATTCTCATGTCAGTCTATCCTTTCCACATTTATCACATTGCTAACTGTAGCAGGCATCACATAACATCGACACCCTTCTTTCTCACACTAAAAGAACAGTCCTGGATTCCAGCATCAACTAAGGCACGCTTCTTGGAGAACAAGATCCGCATGGATCTCCTTCAATACATCGCTCGTGGTTCACCAGCTCTTCGCGGCGATTTGCTCCGTGACTATAAACCTAAGGATGGAGAGAAGCTGGTCGGTAAGCCAGGAGATTTGTTCCCGAGGATTCACAAGGTTGTGGATGATGGGCATACTGTCAAGTTGGCCAGGGCATTGATGCTAGCGCAAAGAGTTACAAAGCCGTATGAGAATAAGGAGTGGGTGAACATCAAAGGAGATGACGAGTGGTTGAGAGCTGTGTATTTGTTGCTGGATGCCAATGAAGAAGCTGATAGGCAGGGAGGAACAATGTGGGTTAGATCTTCAGGATTTGATGAAGCGTGGGAGGAGATCCCCAAGGCTAAGATGTAAAAACACCCGGGGGGAAAGGCTTGTATGATATGCATGGGTATTATGAATCGTATTTACCGTCTATTCTAAACCAATCCATTCATCAGATCCCGCCTCAGACTGCTCGTCTCCATCAACATCCATAAGCTTCACGTCCACAGTTTTGCCACTTTCCAATGTCTTAACATCCTTCTTTCCTGACTTATCCTCCGCTTGACCCAACAAATAATCAACCATGTACACGTTCTCATCAGCAAGTCTCCTGATCTCATCTCTCATCTTGGATACAGCTCGCGCAACGACCCTTAGCTCGATATCGGCCTTGGCACGGTTTGCCAAGAGCCAAGCTCCGTGCTTATCGACGATGGCCTTGATCCAGACGAGGCAGAACTCAATGTGAGGTGACTCCTCGGTCTGGGCGGCGACGAAGCGGAGAAGGCGAGAAACATAAACGGTAGGGAGGTCGGCAACAACGAGGGGAATTTCGGCTGAGGGGATGGCTTGGAAGACTCGCTTAATAAGACCAGCTTCGTTGAGGCGGAAGGCCATGACAAGTGCCTTGAGGTAGTCTTGCTCGGTCTCGAGAACAGCGAGCGTCGAGGCAGGTGTGATCTCCATGTTCAGGTCGAAAGGATCGAACTGGATATCTTGATCTAAACTGTAGATCAAGAGACCCTCTGTAGAGGCAGCACAGAAAGCGGTGCCAGCAGGTGAGAAACCAATGCCTGTCACACGCACCTCAGGGGCCTTCTTTCGTGCTGAAGGATCACCACGTTTTGATCCTGGCAACGAGCTATCCGCGCGATCTTCACGGTCCGAGGCTTCCTGATCGTCGAGGTCTCCAGCAGGTCCGGCTTCAGTCAATAACTTGCTGTTAAGGAATTCCTGGGTACCGGAGAGCGAAAGGTTGACGCTGACGGTGAACTTTTTCAGTAGCACCATGGTTGTCACGGAGTACAAGCAGATATACTTGCTGTTTCCACCAGCCAAGAGACAACTGCCATCAGTGCTATATCGGATTGTGTTAAAGCTCTTTGTGCCGGCCATATTTGCCGCTGTTCGGCGATCGGTGAGTTTTCGTCCTCCCGAAACATCTCTTCGGCCATCCACTCCAGAAGTCTGCTCTGCATCTGTAACTGACCAGAAGGTAAGCTGGCCGTCTAATGTTGAGATAGCCAGTTGCAAAGAATCGGGACGGATAGCGATATCGAGAACATCGGCCTGGAGTTGCAGAGGCTCGCTGGTCTGTGTCCGGCTGAAGATGGACCAGATACGGGCTGTGCGATCCCAAGAACCACTGACAAGTGAGTCACCGTTGGGTGTGAATGCGAGAGACGAGACAGGACCCTCGTGGCCCGATAGCTGATCAAGAAGTTGACCTGTCTGGACGGACCAAATGTGGATGTCAAAGGAATCGAGAGATCCAGCAGCTACGACTTCGCCACTGGGGTCAACAGCCATGCATGAGAACGACAGTCTTGTAGGTGCTGTGAAAGTTCGGAAGTTTCGGTATCGGATCAAGTCCCAGGCTCGAATAGATCCGTCCAGACTTGATGTAAAGAGAACATTACCCTTCTTAGCAAACTCACAGGCTGTCACACCGCTGGTATGCTCAGTAAAGGTGACGATACAGAAGCCTGACTGAATATCCCAGACCTTAATCTTTCCATCATCGGCAGTGGTGATAATGCGCTGACCATCGGGTGAATAGACCAGCGAGTTCATCGCGTCAAAGTGACCTTGCTGCTTAAGAATATAAGACTCAGACTGCCACTCCCACACCAGCAATTGGCCCAGCTTAGATGCACCAAACGCTAACCACTCGCCACTCTTGTTGATGGTGACAAAGTCGATATCGTTTTGCGAGATGCTCAGCTTGTGGATCATGTTGAAGTCGGGCATCTCGTACAGGCCAAAGAGACCATTAGAGAAGCCAGCAACCAGGAGATTCGTCTCAGGGTGGAAAGCGGCACATCGTACATGAGCGCTTCCCTGCATGAAGTAGTGCCGTTGGACAATGCGCCATCGCATATCTGAATCCTCGTCATCGTCCTCCATCTTGTCGTCGTCCTTAATACGGTTGATAGGCTTAACATATTGCCAGTCAAAGACGGCGCCATCCTTGCTAACAGTATAAATAGTCTCCTGGTTCTCTGAGAACCAAGCACCGATAACAGCCTGTTTGTGACCTGAGAGCACCGTGGGGGTGAAGCCCTCCTCAGGGTTCAAACTCCATATCCGCGCCGTGAGATCCTTGGAGGTTGTGAGGAAGAATCGTGAGTCGCTGGACCACTCAATGTGGCTAACGGTATCGAAATGGCCGGTATGTGTGTGGTATCGAACGAAAGGAGCAAATTCGAGTTCACCCTCGGTAGAAGCATCGGGGGTCGAGGGAACGTGCCAGACCTCAATTTTGCGACCCAGTCCCACGGCGAAATGTCGACCAGATGGCGAGAATGAAAGCGCTGTGACGGAGGATCGGAAGGAGAAGTGGTATATAGATATCCTTCGAGGGACATTGGTCAAGATCGCGTGTCCATCTTCGTCAATGGAGAGGAGAAGGTTGCCGCGTGGTGTAAGTCCGATACGGGCAATGTTTTTGCGATGAGCGAATGGGAGGGTGTATGATTTGTTTCTGAGTAACAATTAGTTATGTTCCATTCATTGTAAAGTTCAGGCCGGCTCAAAATAACTTACTCTACCAAATTAAAGACAGTCACTCTGTTGCCGACTGGCGAGAAAAGATGGGTGCCATCGGGGCTATAGAGCAGGTTGCCCTGGCAGTAAACAGTGCCCAGCAAGTTCGAGAACTATAATAATAAGTCAATACATCGTATGAAATCTGGCAGCATCCCAGTGTCATCCGTACCTTGAAATCGGTCTTCATTATTGTCTGCAGGTCATAGCCATGATGCTTCTAAACATCAAATCGCAAACCCGCCAAAAATTCATCGTTGCGCCTTATCGATAAGAGCCGATTTTTGCGACAGCCGGCAGTAGAGTTATTCCGAGACGATTATCTGCCACGAGAATTCCTTGTGGCTGGCTGCTGGCCAAAGCTCAAGGGACCAATGCAAGCTAGGGGCAGTGGCTGTTTATTCGATCCCTGGCATAGCAAGACCCATTTGGTTTGGCACTTTCCCTTGCTGCCCCGTGTCCACTAGCCACTGTCCACTCACGGTACCGTGTTAACGCTAGCCTATCAGAAGCAAGCGTCCCTGGGAGTTGCTTTAGGGGGAAAGGGCAGGAAATTCGTTCCAATTCCCCTGAACTCAGGCAAGCACGAGCTGTCCCTAAACCTCCCTCTCCACCTTGAACCTTTGCACTCGTTCGACCTTCATCGCGATATCGCAGTCGCTTGTTGTCTTTGCATTGCATTGTCTTTGTTTTAAAGTCGTGTTTTACGCTTCAGATCCTCCTCTAATTCACCCTTTATCTTCCCGTACCCAAGTCAACAACTTCAAGATGGCTTCTGCAGCTGCCGAGAACGCTTCACCGATTGGTATTGCCAATCTGCCCAACCAGCGACACAAGATTGTCGCGAAGCGTGGTGCCGGTTTCACTATTATGGTATGCTTCTAAGCAATTAACTCACTCGTCTTGCATTGTTATACATATATAACAAGGCACATCGAGAGCTTCTGAACTATTGCTCACCGCATCATGTCTAGGTTGCTGGCGAGTCTGGTCTAGGCAAGACTACCTTCATCAACACTCTTTTCTCCACCACCATCAAGAACTATGCCGACCACAAGCGCCGTCACCAGAAGCAGGTTGATAAGACTGTCGAGATCGAGATCACCAAGGCCGAGCTCGAGGAGAAGTTCTTCAAGGGTATAGCTCTGAATGAAGCACGTTTGTTACCCAACACTCGCTAACACCCCCTTTCAGTCCGACTGACCGTTATCGATACACCCGGATTCGGCGACTACGTTAACAACCGCGATTCTTGGATGCCCATTATCGAGTTCCTCGACGACCAGCACGAGTCTTACATGCTTCAGGAGCAGCAGCCCCGCCGCCAGGACAAGATCGACCTCCGTGTCCATGCCTGCCTTTACTTCATCCGCCCCACCGGCCACACTCTCAAGCCTCTCGATATTGAGGTTATGAAGCGCCTCTGCTCGCGTGTCAACCTTATCCCCGTTATCGCCAAGGCCGATACCCTCAGCCCCGCTGACCTGGCCAAGTTCAAGCAGCGCGTAAGTAATTGTGCATGAAATTGACAATCCCCAATTCTAACCCTGTCCAGATTGTCTCTGTCATTGAAGCCCAGAATATCAAGATCTACCAGCCCCCGATCGAGGAGGACGATGAGGCCGCCGCTCAACATGCCCGCAGCCTTATGAACGCCATGCCTTTCGCTGTTATCGGCTCCGAGAAGGACGTCAAGACCGGCGATGGCCGCATTGTCAAGGGCCGACAGTACTCTTGGGGTGTTGCCGAGGTTGAGAACGAGGACCACTGCGACTTCAAGAAGCTCCGCTCTATCCTGATCCGAACCCACATGCTCGACCTTATTCACACCACCGAGGAGCTGCACTACGAGGCTTACCGCGCTCAACAGATGGAGACCCGCAAGTTCGGCGAGGCTCGTCCCCGAAAGCTCGACAACCCCAAGTTCAAGGAGGAGGAGGAGGCTCTCCGAAAGCGTTTCACCGAGCAGGTCAAGATCGAGGAGCAGCGTTTCCGACAATGGGAGCAGAAGCTTATCTCCGAGCGCGACCGTCTCAACAAAGATCTCGAGCAGACCCATGCTCAGATCAAGCAGCTCGAGCAAGAGCTGGAGCAGATGCAGGGCAGCGCTGTCCGCAGCCACGGTCGCCGCTAAACGATTTCGAGCGGGCCTTTATGCACATGTGCATGGCTGCAGTTGGACAGTCGTTTCTTCAAGTTTCTTTTACCTGGAGCTCCGTTTTGGGGTTTGGAGTTGAAAAATGAAAGGTCCGAAGAATACCACAAGAAGACAGGAGAGGGATCACGAGTTCATGGATATACCTGCTCGCTCTTCCCTACAGAGGCCAAGGGGGAGCTGCCCTTGCTGGGACTTGTTATCATGGCCGCGGCATGTTGTGTAGGAGTTATGATTCCCTCCCCATGATTTTGTTTGTTCTTGGTTGCTATGCCGGCAACTCATACCCACAAGTACGAGACGCCTTTGAAGCGAACAAGACGTATGGAGAAAGCCTTGATAGTCTTGCCCTTTTTTTATTACAACCTTTTACTAGAGCCCTTTCTCTCAGCTAGGCACATTTTAGTTTCGATGTAATTTCAATCACAACATTTTATGATACCAGTTTGAGATTCGAATGTTTCAATTCATTGCATAAAACCCCTGACTGCTGTTCGATATTTCATGAAATGTTGCAAGAGTCCCATTAACCAAATGTGAACGGGGAAAACAGCCACCAAACTCCATGCTCTAAACCAAGCTGACCAAATTCATACCTGAAAAGAAAACCGGTGTCCTTTGACTGCAATATTGAAATCACCACAGGTTTGAAGCCAATTTCAGTCTTTCCATCTAGGACATTACCCCAGACCCCAAGTGCTATAAGGCGTCCATGCTGGCTCGTGTTGTCAGTTGCTCGTTTTTATTTCCAAGTCGCGAAATCTGCAGGAAGACATCCGTTCCGTAGCCCTCGAGGCTATGCAAGTCAAGATTTCCAGCCCAATATTCAGCATAGACACGGCTCAGAGGTAAACCCATGCCGAGACGCAGGTTAGGCGGCCGACTGGTGAGAGATGATAATGAACTCTGGTAAGGCGGTGCTTTTAAATCTGCACGCCCCAGTTCCTCCTCTACGTGAAGCTCCTGCATCGTTGCTGCCATCTTGGGCACCTGCGCAAGATTCTCGAGACGTCTCTGGCTTTGCGGGCCCTTGCTGAAAGACCAGAGATGTGGCAGTTCAGCGCGAGGGATACCACCACCACGATCACAAATGCGGATGATAACGTGTTGCTGGTTCTCGCAGATGGTTATCTCCACAGGAGGAGGCTTCACACTGTCAGGGTCCGAATGGACTCTCTGATGTCGATCAATGACGGCCTGGACAGAGTTGCGGAGGAGCTCGCCAATGATGTATTCGAGATGACTAAGAATGTAAGGAAAAGAGGCATCGAGATGACCATCAACGGTGATTTCGGGAATCTGGACACCCCGGCGATTCGTTGTGCGGGCAAGAATGGTGATGGCTTTAGAACAGCGCTCGACAACATCCTTAGCATAACACTTAATAAACACTTCGCCGATGAAGTCGGATTCAGAAAGTTTAGCTCCGGGAGAGAAGTTGGGGGAGTTGTAGGTTTCTGTTAGTGAAAGATGCTGCTCAGCGATGACCCGTCTAGAAATGCGCTGTTCTATGTCAATAAGTCACCAAAGCCATTCATGTATGGGCACCCTACCGATCTAAGAATGGTATTCATGAAATTATCCAGATCTTGGGGACTCATGAGACCGCCGCATTCTAGGATTCCCATGGCAAGCTTTGGTATCACAGTCAAGTGGCCCTTGAGGTTATGGCTGATGAGTTCGCACAGCTTGTCGTTGTCCTCCAATGTTTTAACCTCTTTCACTTTGCGAAATGTATCGAAGGCGTGGTAGTATAGGTCGTAGACTTCTTTGATATGTGGGTTCATAGTAACGACATAGGGCAAACGTTGCATATCTCGGATCCGATGCGCAATTCTAGTCACATGTCAGGTCTCTCTGTTCTCTGGGAAGATACCCAGTACTTACCTTGTAGGCAATTCGGTGCGAACATAGTTAGCTGAGCTTATCAGACGAGATTCGGTGAGAGAGCGGCCAAAAACCATAAGTTGGCGGAGACTGATAGGACGAGCCTCCTTCGCGACCCAGCTGAAGGCATCATGGGTTAGCTTTTACAACCAGAAATCATAACAAAAGAAAATGACATACTCGTCAAGGATTGAAACAGGACGCCATGATGCGTTTGTACTGGCGCGAAATTGAAGATTTGTATACGAGGTACGGGGGATATTCGCCAGGTAAGGGCGCAAAAATGTCAGTTTACATCGTCTGCTCTGTCGCAGGGCGATGGATGGCATGTCGTCACAGGCACATGCGAGGATGAATCGAAGTCGGTATTGTTTGATGTGTTAAGCCCAATCAGTTGGCATAAGTGCAGAATGTTTCCAAACGATGTTCTGCGTTTGAAAGAAGAAAATAGAGGTGGCGAGAGTGAAGCGAGGACAGTCTGCATACGCCGTCTCGGTGGGAAGGAAGCTTTGGGTGAGTGACTCGATACCAACTGCCCAGGAACGGGATTGGAGTTTTACCCCACATCTCATTGGCGATACCGGCCCGCCCAAAATGGTGGGTTGCAGGAAGGAGGAGAGGTTTCCGTGTGGGTTTATCCCAGTTACGGCTGAGTTCTGGGGCTGATAAGCCTGGCACAAGCTGTGAAGCTGTAGACAGGGCTGTTTTAGATGTGTAACTATTTATCTACAGGGAGTACGTTCATGACAACCTGTCATTTAGTGTTTTGTTGTGTTAATCTAGGGTAGCTTCCTGGGTCTAGTTGTGGCGTCTGCTTGTTGCATTGTGGCAATGAGCTGTAACGGCCCGTGAGTACTTCGTATAGTCTAAATATCTGGTAAAAGGGTTGTGCAAAAGGGAAAAAACGAGCCATGCTTCATCAGGTATTGAAGTTTGTCCTTTCAAGGGAAATCATGCTGACGCACACTTGATCAGTTCGAGCTGTCCCTTCGAAGTAAGCTAGGGTATAATTTTATAACACATATGATAATGCGGGACAAAGGTCTCCAGCTCCTTATTGCAAAGCGGAAAAACAAACTGGAAAAAACAAACTCGAATCTGTTTTCCAACTTGCGTCAGACCGCTTCTCTTTGCCAGCTCACTCTCTGCCCGCATCCTGAATGAAAATGCAAGCCATCAAAACCGAGGCATGATTTATCTGACAAAGACTCAAGCTTAGCCTTTGGCTATGAGAGACTGACAACGTCATTGGCGGGGTGACCTGATGACGCTTGGCGTGACTGCTGGTGTTAAAGCAATACAGCATTTGTAGTGTATTTGTCCGCAAATAACAAGTCGCGTGACAACATTTGCTAGCTATCGCCTCACCACTCTCATCAAGTCTAAAGTCTCGCACAACTCTTGTTCCCGCTGAATGATTGATTACTACTGGCTCTCTCTGCCTATCGATGCAAGGCATTGGATCCAAACTCACTCACCTCACGCTCCTTTCTCCCAGTTTGGTTTTATCCTCCAAACTACAGCCTCTTCTCTTTGTTTAGACGCGACCTGACTTGACCTGGGATTCGAAAGGTCTAGGGGCTTAGGACCTGAGTTGTGGGCATCACCTTTTACTGACATAACCGACCGCTCTACTCTTTTTTCTTTATCAGTGCAGAACTCGTCTCCCCCAATCGTCATAGCATAGCATAGCATACCTAGCATTGCCTTGCCTTGCCTTGCCTTGCCTTGCATCGCATTCACTGCCTTGCGTTGCTTCCAGTCCCGAGCTCTCTTTTTGGAGAAATTCTCTTTTGCTCACGGCAACACCTGGTCTCTTATTCCCTGCCGTATCTTTGCGCCACTCGACGTCGTCGAGCTTTGGCTGAAGCACTTGCGTTGATTGAGTTGCTCTGCGACTGCGACTGCTACTGCCACGCCCGTCTTTATATCGTGAGGTTTGCTCTCTCGGGTGCCTGCCTTAACGTCACCGATTCTTCCGCCTCGGTCGCAACTTCCTCAAAATGGTACGTTCCTGCCCGCTACTGTCCCTTCCCGTGCAATCTTGTTCCATGCAGCTTGCCGCGACTCCCATAGTCGCTGGAGAGCTCCTCGTGCAGCCCCATCAACACTAAGCTGCGTCATCCTTCTGGCTCCACGATCATCACATATTATGCAACTTCGATTCGACCTTACCACATCTTCTTGACATGAAGTATTGCGCAGACTTCTCTACCTAATGCCTTGAAGTCATCATCACCTCCAATAGCGTACCATTTGCCCCTCACCACCCACACTAACCCCAGTCACTCCCGATGCCGACATCATGACCTCGTTTCATCGCCGCCTGTGCTTTCGCTCGGGGCTCAATGCTGACCGTCGCAATCTGCTGCAGACTCACGATATCAACTCACCTAACGACATGGTCATGGACACGGACGATTATATCGGCGTGGCCAACGAGCCAGAGAAGGTCGCCATCATTAACCCCGATAACCTCGAACAAAGCGAAGTCGACCAACTGCAAGATCTGCCCATGGCTAACGACCGTACGTACTCCTTCCACTATCTCATTGACTCCTTGCATTTGGCGCAGACCTCATACATCATATGCTTTCAGTCATGAGCATCACCGATTCTTGGAGCTATCTGGACTAACTCTCATGCCTCTAGATGAAGCCATGAGGGAGATCTGTCTCCCACCTCTCATTGATGAACCGAAAATACTCGGAGACTACGAATACACATGGACTGTCGAAAACTGGCGAAGTTTGAATAAGAAGGAACACGGTCCTATTTTCCAAGCAGGTGGCTTCCCATGGTGCGGCTAAGTTGATTCCGGCACTGCCGTTACTCTTAATGCTGACGTTCCACTACTACAGGCGAATTCTGCTTTTCCCACACGGCAATAATATCGACCAATGCTCTATCTATCTTGAACATGGCTTCGACGCTGATAGTGTTCCCGAGAACTGGAGCTGCTGTGTTCAATTTGCGCTCGTCCTATGGAACCCGAACGACCCCAGCCTATATGTCCATCACACTGCCCACCATCGATTCACTAAGGAAGAAGGCGATTGGGGTTTTACTCGATTTGTTGAGCACCGCCGAATGTTTAATGTACCATGGGAGGGCAGCAGCCGACCCCTTTGCGAAAATGACACTGCCAACATCACCGCCTATCTTCGCCTCGTTGAGGATGAGACGGGTGTTTTGTGGCACAACTTCGCCAACTACGATTCCAAGAAGGAGACAGGATATGTTGGACTCAAGAACCAGGGTGCCACCTGCTATCTGAATTCCCTGATGCAATCGCTCTATTTCACGAACAAGTTCAGAAAGGTAGGGTCTCTCCTTTGTTCTCTAGTCCACTATTTGCTAACTTCTATAGGCTATCTACGAAATTCCTACCGAGGCCGATCCCAGTATGACCAACAGTGCTTATACGTTGCAACGACTTTTCTACCAGCTACAAACGTCAGACCAGGCAGTTGGAACCACGGAACTCACAAAATCTTTCGGCTGGGACACACGGCATATTTTCGAACAACAGGATGTGCAGGAGTTTTCACGCAAACTCATGGAAA